CATACTTAAAAGGTTAAAACAACGCAAAAAAACGACGGAAAGGGTAGAGAACCCTGTCCACGTGTCACCTGGTCCCGGTGACGTTAAACGTCACCGGGACCAGCTGACACGTGAAATTTTGAAGGCTCAAGAAATAGAAAGATTGGGTGTCATGTGTGTCAGCAGCCCTTCTGTTGCCTTATCAAGGAAGGAGATTCATTTTCTGGCCACTTGATTGGCTTGGTTGGAGCGCGTGCCTTTGTTTGTCTTTTTAGAGGTGATACTTCGTTTTTCGTGCTTTTGTTTTGGGTGTTTTTCAGGCTGATTTTCTTGTTTTTGTTCTCGATTGTGCGTATATATTGCACCGTTGGGTCCAGTAAAGATTAAGTTGCGAGTCAGCGCTCTGTCTGTGTCCTTCTTCACCCTGCCCGTCGTTTTTTGCGATGTTTTAGCCTTTTAAGTACTTCATGACAGTCCTCGGCATTGTGCTCAGAGCTACCGCACCTGGCACATGCCTCACGGCCACGGCACGACCGCGAGCCGTGCCCAAAGCGCTGACGACGGAAACAACGACAGGGTTAGGTATGTAAGGCCGGGCCCTAAAATTCAAGTACCCCGCTTTCACGGAGGAAGGCAGGCTGTTGAGCTCAGAGGTAAGGACCAAGTGTCGCGTAGGAAGTCTTTGTCATCTCTACGGATGGTGATACGCTTGACAGCAACAACATGCACCTGGCTGCGCATGCCTCCAAGAATCTCTTTCTCCTGACTCTGCATCAGGTCGTCCTCAGGTATAACGCCACGAATGGTGTTGAGCGTACGGTGTGTAGAGACACTCACTTTCGTGTCAAGGATATGGTTGAGGCAGAGCAACGCTGCTGCCTGATTTTTCACAAGTACTTTTACCAAAAGGCCTCCAGGAAAAGTCTTTTTTGCGTTAAACTTTTCCACTACCAAGTCTTTTAAGACCTTAGCCACAAGGAAAGGGAAGAGTTTCGACATCGGTTTCAACTTCGGAATGTACAATGAAAAACTTAGTATCATACTCAGTGTTGCTGTTGTCCAAAGGTGGTAGATATTCATCGCTGCGGACCATTTTGGGGGCCCGATCAAAAGGTTTAAGCTTGAAACCCATAAGAGGGAAATGGTGTTCGGAAACTGTGGTGCACCGCCCACCACCGAGCCCAACAAGGGAATAGGTAACGTTTCATAACAAGAAGGGCTTGGCTGAAGACGTTACTCTATTAGTGCTGCCCAGTCTCTAAAACCAAGTGTGGTTTTGGACAAGAGGTCTTTCGCCACCCAAGGTTAGCCCTTGCCGCCAATGGAGTTGAAAAAGGAAAGAAGAGAAATGAGAAGAGTGAAAAGGAGGAGCAGACAAGGGTGAAAGTAGAGAGGGGATAGTAGAAGTGGCGACTAGGACTGAATCATCCTGGCCGGGCCTTACCACGACTCTCGTCTATGAGAAGCGGGGGCCGAAGTGGTGTATTGCCTCACCCGGGGGGCCCCGAAGGGTCCAAACCTGCCCTGGGCTCGGCTCAACCACCAGGATGCCCTCTTCCTCAGACACGGGAAAGCCACGCACAGCCAGACGTGGGCGGGCGAACCCGCATGGCTCGGGGTCCGTGGAGACGCCAGTCTCCGAACACCTGCTTTCACAGGTGCCCCCTGCGGGGACAATGTGCGAAGAAGTAAACGCGAGAGGCCCTGGTGCTCTAATCTAAACACATGGTGAAAGAGTTGGCGCGGAATTCGACCGCCGTGATTGGTCGGCGCCAAGGTGGACCGCTTCGCCGGCCAATCACGGCCGCCGGATTCCTGGACCACTTTTTTAACAAGTGTTTATATTAGAGTACCAGTTCTTCCTTGCGTACGCGCGGCGCGGGCGGCCTCTCGCTGGTGGTAAGTGTGGGCGCGACGCCAAACGCCAGCCGCGGAAGCCAGTTGTTCGGAGCCTCCGCAGGAGCGAGCGCGGGGGGAATGGCACGCTTCCGTGGCTCCTCTGTAGTCCCATGGAACGGCGCCCTGCCTTGACGCGGGGCGCCATTAAGGCTCGTCCACACAGCTGCGTTTGACGGCGTTGACATTGCTGGCGTCCAGCTGTTGCTCTGGCGACGCTTATGACGAGCCAATGGGGAGGCGCTGCGCTTCACGACGCAACGCGGCCGAAGCAACTGTGTGAACGCGCCTTCAGCAAGAGTCTATGGCAGTAACGTCGCTAGGGCAGGGGCAGGTTTTCCTGGCGTCGTTGTCGGGCGGTGAAAAGAGAGGGTAATGTTGACGTTGAGCGAAGAGCGGCAGAGAGCGAAGCATGCCGAGAAAGGAGGCGAGGCTCTGCGGAAAAGGCGGGTGGAAGGGCGGCGAGTTTTCGGAGAACAAATTTAGCGTTTCGAGTAGGGTTCGAGAAGCAGCGAAGTTACAGTGTGAACCCAACGTGGTGGAAGTCTTTAAAACGCTCCAATAATACATGGAGCAATTGGGCACTGCCAAAATTGAAATGCGTAAAACGCGAGGTAAAGTTTGAGAACACCTGTTTTGAAGGTATGACTAGCAGACGACAGAGGAAAGACGCTCCGCTAACGATTCGACGTCGCGCCCTTATTGGTGGGTCGTCCGGGCCCTCCTCTCTTCCGTCTCCGCGTGGTGCGGCGGCGAGGGCGAATGGGAACACCCGACTTCGTTCTTTCGTCGAAATAAGGGGAGAGAAGGAGGGCCTTCTATCCTCTGCGACGATAGACAACAAATGCCGACACAACAATTCATGCAATGTGTCACCCGTAAAAATATCGCTCTAAAAGCACTTCATAGTTGCGTACTCACTGTGTGTGAGGTCTCTAGCCCGTGATACCAAAAGTACAAAAGAAATGAGAGTCATGGCGATGCATTCTTCGCGCTGTTTGATAGGATCCATAAGATCGAAGTGTGGACTGAGGTCGGAATTGAACTCAAACGGATTATAGTAGAGAGTTTTAGGGAACCGTTTCTGCACAAGCGATACGGTACGCTGGGCCCTAAGGTAGGACCTTTGTTTGTTCTACCGGAGAAGATTGGCATAAGCGCAGTTCGCACCAAGGGCCAGTCGTATCGATGTGCGGAAACGGTTACCCAAAACTGTCTAGTGCATTTTATCCCGTTAAAAAGTGGAGGACACTGAAGCTTCACGTTTAAGAGTGGAACGCGAGAGCGTTATCGGGCCTCGTTCGTATCTTGCCTTCTCATTCGCCTCTTGTGCTCTTCCTGGCAGGGAGCAGAAAGTGTGGCGGACTTGGCCCAGTCAGTAGCGTGTCTGGCTCGCGACCGAAGGGTCGTGGATTCCAATCCCCGTCTAAAATTCTTCAAATGTTTCTTGAATGCAAAATAATTACTTCCTTTTTTTCTCGCGCGAGATAATGTGGCTATGACGTCATGACCCCTTCGACTAATCAGGAATTTCGCGTCACGCTACCGACATCAGCTTTTCTGCCACGCCACCGAGGCCGGTCTTTCTGCGACACGAGCACCTTAACGGTATTGAGTTAATAAATATACACCGCTTAGAATTATTTGAACCATTTTTAAGGCTCTTGATGTGGGGAAAAAAATGAGACCAAAGGAAAGTAGAAAAAAAAACGGTAAGAACGCCAGACGACAACGTCAGCTTCCACCAGCTCGCCTGTGCCATCACTTCATTATAAATATTTTTCGAGGTTCATAGCCCGCACAAAACACGTTTGTTCCTCGATCCACGTAGAAGAAGTCGTAGCAAAAAAAAAAAATTAGAGCGAAACAAGCAGCGTTTATTACCTGAACGCGAAGTTGCTGCAAGCGGTATCATGATCTGGAACCCACTAAAGGGCGCAGATGTTCCTCGTAGGCACGCGCTGGGAAAGCACAGCGCACGGGCTGAGTACCAGACAACGCTATACTCTGCTAAACGAATCGCGGGCAGTGTGGGGCGTGGTCCTGCGCTCCGCTTCACTGGTTTGGCCGGTGATGGGAAAACGCACGAAGACGACGACTGGCGTGACGATGCACTTTTTACCCTGCTTGATTCGTTCCATTGGATCTTTGCTGTAGCACTGGTCGGTCACTTTACCCTATTTATAGAATATACTGCCCTTACGGGCACTATACTCTATAAAAAGAGTATAGTGCTCCTACGTAAGGGGGAAGCATTCCAAGTAAATATTGTTGATTTCAGCAAAAGGCTGAAGCTTCGATTGCAACATTCTTTCGTATTCTCAACCCCCTAGAAAACCTTAGTATTTGGGCTCAGAGTTTTTTTCCGGAGAAAGACCCACTGTAGAAAACTTTAGCGTTGTAAAGCTCGTCCATTCTTTGTGCTCTAGGAAAAAAAAATTGCCAGCTTTTGGATAGAGCCGGAGAAATGCTGTCTTTTGGTGCTCAGAATGACGATAGAAAGGAAAAGCCAGTGCTGTAAACTCGGAATCCAGAATTTAAGTTTCGTCACTTTCAATTTCTGTAATGACAGACGTCGGCCCGGTATCAGTTAATATATAATTATCGTAGTTTTACTTAGTCAAAATCTTTAATATAAGCCGTCGTACTATACTGGGAAATTTTCCAGTTTTATGCGGCGCCATTGATGTTGAAGAATAAACATATCTGGCTATATAGGTATGTTAAAAGGTTCTTAATATATTTAACTTATCATTCTTCATTTGTTTTTGAAACGTAGAAATGTTTGTCACAGAAGTGCTGCAACTTTGAAAACACCTAGCGGAACACACAAAAAAGTGAGCTAACCAATGCGTTCACCAACTTGAAAACTTTAGAAGAAATGATCAGTAAATTTGTCAGGACAACTGGACATTTTTGTTTTAATTTTAACACACAAGAGCGATAAGTACGCACATTCAGATCAACAACAAACAAAAAGAGATGACGACTTTGTGGGTCTCTAGGACGCGGTACACATGTTCATTTGTGAGGAGTGGTTCGTCATAGAGCATGGATAGAAACAAATTACTCTTCGTGTTTTGTTTTCTTTAATTTCAACAGCCACGCTCTCCCGAAACCATGTATATAATCCTTAAAGTCAGTGCAATTTCTGTGCTATTCATTCTTAGCTGTGGTTGTGGACGCTTGTTCCGATTCATTATCATCATTATCCGTGTCAAATGTTTTGTTGAACCCTGCTTCAATGTGTGTTACGTTAAACCAGTTCACAATGTCGACACTTCGATTCACGTAGGAAATCATGTAGGGCGCCCATCCTTGCACAAGCATTCCTTTGGTGTGGGTGCCGGTTAACTCCACAGCCACGCGGTGTGCGCCTTTGCTCGCCACCGAGCCTGGATCCAGCGCGGCAAGGACAGCGAGGAAATCTCCAAGGTTGAAACCAGGGCTTCTTCCGTTTCCGAGAAAGACGGTGATGGTGTGATTGGTCAGGGCCTTCAGGAACGCGGCTTTCCGGCCCGTCCCTTCAATTGTAGCGTTGAATATGTTCTTGAAAAAGGAAAAAAGGTGAAGAGTTAGCGCCATGCCCACGGCCGAAGTTTTCTACCCTTTCATAAGGGTAAGAATTAAATAGATTAAATACTTATTACTTTTTTGTTTACAAGCTCATGCCACATGATGGAGACATCTAGCGTTTTACGAGCACATACGGTCAATGACAGCTCAAAGAAAGCAGGGCGTGGCCAGTCCCGTGTATCTCATTATCACCCAGCAGCCAATGAAATTGCAGGATCAGCCAATGAGGACGCCGAAGAACGAATCACGACGCAAGAGGCGTGACCATATTGAGCCCCCCGCCCCTGCGTTTCTATGACTCTAGTATCGTTGTGACCATAGTACCGTATGTTCCAGACTAATGTCCGCAAATTATGCATGCTGCAAGTTTAGATTTTACGCGTGTGAAGTATCTACAGGTGCGGACTATACAAGGATAATTTTCTCCTAGATCGCGTGATGAAGTTTGAGAATGACAAAGTATGATGATATAAATACGATACAAGTAGCCTTGTACACGTAACTAAAAAAAGTACTCGATTACAATTACTCTTAATTAAACAATATTCCATTACATGACTTGATTAGCTGGCAGTAAAGTACTTAACCTTTGCTCGAGATAGTTGCCGTTACATTTCCGGTTACTTCAGACTTTTAAAACGACAGATTTGTGTGCCGGCTAGAAAAGAGGCGTTCCGCACTCTTTGTCATTTAATTCGAAACACAAAAATTACAAACTACCCAATCTTCTCTAACAGCAAATTTTGGTAGATCATTCTCCTCTTGGAGTCTTGGTTCGAGGATTCTTCGGAAATGTTCTTGTAAAGGAAAAGGCCGCCTTTGGAAGGGAAAGGAAAACAGTAACGGCTACAGGGGATTTTGTACTTTCAGAAGTAATCAGAACACACTTGTAATGATTTCCTAATAAGAGTTATCAAAGGATTGCAAAATTACTCAAACAAAGAAATCCATTATCCGCAATTTTGTACCGAATAAGAATTGTAGTACAAGCGTCTTTGTGTAAGCTAATGAAACAGGAATTTACGAAGGTGTATTCTTAACGATAACTTTAAACGTGCGGAAATTTCACGAGGTGCGGCCCATCTAAGAAAAAAACCGTCTTTTTCCACCGAAATGTTTTTGTTTGTGGGCCATAAACCGCGAACGGACCATTCTCCGGGAAATGTAATATTTCCATAAAGGAGAAATATGACATCTCTTGTATTCCTTATTCCAAAGGTGCGAATCAAGAGCCAAGGCTATTGTATACCGACGTCGAACTATGTAACTTGACGAATTACCCATGGCAAGGTAGACTTGAGGACCGCCTCCCAGGGCACGATGGTGACATTGCATTCCACTCGCTGGAGGACCACTTCAGCAGCTTCTGGGTCCACCAGAAAGTTGAACTCGGATCCAGGCCTAATGTTCCCACGACCTGCATTTTTTCTTCACTTTAATTCACCGCCAAAGTATAGTAAACGAACATTTCAGGTTGTATATAGCCACCCAGCGCTTATGAAATGCAGGGCGTTATGCTAACGCTGTATGCTCCGTGATTCGTTTTTTTTTTTGTTCTTAAACGGACCGCAAGTTCGTCTGCCTCTTTTGCAGAGGTTTTGGGAGACGTCAGAACGCCGAGCTCTCATTGGTTCTGAATGAAAGACAGTGGGTAGACGTCAAGGCAGCTTGCTCTGAGGTCTACCCACTATCCTTCAATCAGAGCCAATCAAAACTCGGCGTCTTTTTGACGTCACCGCAAGACTTGCGCAAGAAACAGACGACTTGCTCTCCGCCAAGGCTAATGCCGCAACGTGATTGCATGCTGAGCGGTAATTAGGCGCACTGTACTCACTACTACGTCGCGCAAGTTTGTATGCCCCTTGCGGACCTAGTGCTTTTGATTTCCCCCCAAATGTGTGTGGGAGCCCCCCCCCCCCCCCTTCTCTGATCACGGCTCCCGCCGTGATCAGAAAGGGGGAAGGAGGGGGAGGAGGGAGGGGGATGGGAGGTCTCACTTTCGTGTGCGAACTGGGACCCCTGTTTATCCTACTAAGCCCCTCTACCAGAGATGGCAATATTACTTTCAAAGGTAATTAAATTAAATTGATAATTACTTTTCCGAAAACTGCAAAAAATTACAATATACTCCAAATTACTGCACACTAAATGTAATTATATCATAATACAACTGCTTTCCAAAATAAATAAAATTACTTTGACATTAATTTTAATACCTTGAACCAGTAATTTGTGCTCATTTTATTTACAGTATATGTACCAAACCTCAGATCTTCATGTTTACACCGCAGCAACGATATGCGTCTCAAAGTGAACCCCACTGAAAGGTGGTTTTGCTGGCGCACACGAAATAAATGTTAATCATAATGAATAGCTTCTTTAGATATGACTAAACGCAGTCGACTCACCGGTCTCGCTGTTCATTCGGCGGTGAAGGACCTTAATTAAAGGGTAATATGTTTCCGTTTTGCTGATTTAGAAGTTATAGTCTGTGTCAGTATGTTAAGTCGGGCCTTGGGAGCTCATTCTTACAGAGTCCTTACGTGGAACGTTTCCCTTTCGCCTCGGATGCAATCTAATCTCGTTCTTCCAAGAGCACTAGTTGACGCATTCCCGTTCGTTCCTCTCAGAGACATTGTACCAAAACACCGCATTGTCACACAACGGGGCTGGATATTTGCTAGGCAGAAGCGTCGCCAGTTAAAGAAGAAGTGGCGCACGCTTCCTGAAATGTGTATTTTCCCAACAGACGGTTGGAGATATCTGCTCGTAGAGATATTCCAGAATAAACTTCGCAAGGAAAGGCAGGGAGCTATACCGAAAGAGGCACCTGCTTTGCCCGATACCAGTTTTTTCCGACTACAAAAATTTGGTTTTAAGATATGTTGACCTCTCTGGTGATGTGCCATCCTCCTTGTAACCTATGAGTCGTTTATTTCTAATCTGACAATGCGGTGGAATCTGCGTGTCTTTAAAAGTGTGACGCGTCCTTCTTTCCCCACCTAACCAGAGTCTTGTGCATACCCACGCGCAGAGGAAGGGAAGGGCCAGGTGACCAAAGGAAGGCGGTTGATTGGTTCTGGTGAGCTCGTAGCTTCTACCTCACTGTCAGGTTAGGGGTGAACGAAGTGCATTATCGTCGTAATGACGTGACGCCGTGAATTTCTCCTGCCTAGAGTTCGTTAGCCATAACCTTCCAGCGACGTCTTTACACCTCAGCTTTTCTCCTTCGTCTTTCCAGCCCGCGTTTGTGCGCCTGGTGAGTCCTTTGCACAATGCTTTGTGCACAGATGGCCTTCTTTTATTTCACCTGGTGTCTCTTGCACGACATTTACTGTGCAAAGATTTTTTTTCTAGTGTTCCCAAACAAACGTTCTCATTTGGGACAAAAGTTATTTCAAAAGAATTCAGTCATTTTCTAAAGATTACTGCCTGAAAGTAATGATTTAAATTACTAAATTACCGTCCTAGAAAAGTAATTAATTAGATTCCTCATTACCACAAAAAGTAATTAATTTACTGTGCTGATTCATAGCAATGCTATTAGTGACATATCTGCCTTCTACCTTGTTGGGAAATGCGATGCTTTGTTTAAGGGGGAGGGCAGGATGAGGTGTCGTAGGAGAGGTGCTGTCCTTGCAAAGCCTGCAAGAAGAGCTAAGTGGTCAATTACGTGGGGATAATATTTTCTGTAGTCTGTTGAAGGGGTAGAATAGCAGGACTAGTCGCCGCCCGCAAACGCATCTGCACTTCATTGTTGGCGTTTTCTCCAATCCATTCTACTCATCTGCAGCGTTCGCACTGCTGAAGTGGAAAGATTGGAGGACTTCGTGGGCGAAGCTTGTCCTGCTATTCCTCACATCCAATGGACATAGGATGATCTGCACCGTTTGATTTTCATCAACCCCAATGCCATGCGCGGCAACACGCACCGCTCTTGCACCATTTTTGCCACAAACGTGCTAACATCTCTGAGTATGAGTGAAACATGTTAAGGTAATCATTAGGCCCGGTATTGTAGTGCTTCGTCTTTCATTAGGAAAACTATAATACCAAATTTAGGTTCAAATCTTTGTTTTTCCAGATGTACAGCGTGTCCCCAAAACAAGTTACAGAGTTGCTTTTTTCATTGCAAAAATAGACCACCCTTTACCTAAAGCTCATATTCCGCCCGACGTAGCGCTAGGGGTCCGAACCAGGTGCTAAAGCTTCAGTTCTCACCGTTATTTTATTAAAAAAATGCTACAAGTGTTTTCTGATAATTTGATTAAGAAAATGTGGTCATTTTTTGTCGGTTTTTGGTAAGTGCCGCGATAGAGCTCTATGTATTCAAGAGCTTTGTCAGCTACCATTCCCATTGAAAATATCCGAAAATCGCTTATAACTTTTGAATAAAATAACGGTTAGGGCTGAAACATTGGTTTCTCGTTCGAACCGCTAGCGCTACATTTGGGCTGAGAATCAACATTCGGCGATGCATTGTTTATTTTTGCGGTGAAAAAGAAACCTGCAATTTTGTATTTTTTTAGGGAGAAATTTTGTACTTTAGGGAGGGGCTTCCATGCAAAACGTTTTCTAAAAGTAGCTTAATGAGGTCTGGGAGCTCGTTGCATGGATAGAAACTTAGAAAACAAGCACCAAAACTAGAATCATCTAGCCAGATTGTGCATCAATACATGACACACTATGGAAATAAATCTATAAAAAATAGCAATACAAAAAAATAACACACAAATTACGTTCAACTGCCTAGATGCGCAAAACGTCTCTTAAAATAAGAAATACATATCCCTCAATGAGAAAAAAAGCAAAAAAAAAAAAGTTGCATTACACACTGTTAAAAGGTTGTAGTGAAGAGACTGTAAAACTATTTTACCTTCAATATTGCCTCCTAAGAGAAAGATTTCGCTCACGCCTCTCGTTATGTGCGGGTCAACCAAGAGAGCAATGGCAAGGTTCGTCAAAGGTCCAAGCAGAATAAGCGTTATATTGTTGCAGCTTGACCTAATCAAATCCATGATTCTTAAGGGTGCGAAGGTGGTATCATTAGCAGAGTTATTTCCAATAGTGTAGTTCTGCGCCACATTTCCAAAGTTGTCGGATCCGAAGTATGCTGCTTCGGGTTCCCAGATTCCGAGGATTGGTCTGTCGGCTCCCTTGTAAACCGGGATCTTGAAGGTAGAATGCGAGCGTTAAAAACAGTGTTGTAGGCACTACCGAAAACGAACAAAAAAAAACATAAAAGATGCTACCTGTTACCGTTCACAAATAAAAAATATATAAAAGATAATAGAATAAAAACAAATTGCAGCAAACGGATGTCCTGTAATTCTACTGAGGTAACGAAAACCAAAGCATCAAATATCAAACAGGGGTGCAAACTGCAGTCTCTGTAACGTTTTACGTATTTCTTAAAGGGGCGGTGCAATGATTTTAACACTGAACGAATGTGCAGCTTGTATTTTTTATATTGTTTACTTCGGCACAAGTAAGAGAAAAAGTGCCACCATACCCCAAGATACCTCTATTTCGCTGCGTAATCGTAAAAGAAAAAACGCTTTTTTTTCCGAACCTGCGGCCACATGGTGGCCGCAAATGGAACGTGTGGTTTGACGTCATTCGGAGTGGTTTTTGTAAGTGATAGTGTTAGGCAATTGTAAGCTTGATTTAAGGTTAAGTTTAAAAAATCTCGTGGTTTAGGCATGCAGAAACGCTTCAAAAGCCTAATATTGCCACTAAAAGGGTATGAATTATTTGTGGCGCCATCTACCGCAAGTCAACAAAACCTGCCGTCGCCGTCATCCGTCGACGCCCGAGGCGCCTACGGCGGCTACACGAGCAACCCGGACGTTTTGTCTTTCCCTCGCTCGACGGAGTGCGTTGGTCGCGGTCCGTTGTGTCGTGGTATCGTTATTGTTCCTGGTGTCTCGACCTCGACTTCGACTTCGACTGCCCGCCGCGTCGCAAGCATCCTTGCGCTCGACGTCGCTCAGGCCGTCCGCCCATGCCGCCATGTTGGTCGGGAATCGGCGGGAGAGCGGGAGAGCGGCGAGCCTGGCGAGCCGGCGAGCGCTGGGGAAACGGAAGCCAGAAGCACCCAACCGGAAACCAACGCCACTCCGAATGACGTCACAGGCGAAGCTGGTGCCGCTTCAATGTTGAGTTGAGGGGTGCCAGAGATATCAATTTCTTTTATTTTTTTTAATGAAAACTAGGGCAAGCAGGAAAGAATAGTGTTCGGTCCTTCGTTTTATATGTGGCCGGGATCAATTCCCGCAATTAATTAGCCAAAGTCCGCAAATTGTTGCACCGCCCCTTTAACTACCACACCTTGTGCACAGCGTGTTTCTTAAAAAAAAATACTTTGTTCCACCGAAAAAATAAACTACACATCACCGAATCCTCAGTGTCCGCCCAAATATGGCGCTAGTGGCCTTTACTGGATGCCAGATATTCAGAAGTAAACGGTATCTGACACAGGAGTTATCCGTAATTTTCGTAAATTTTTATAGAAAAATAGGTCCCGTTCCCGGTAGTGCTCCGCCATTCAGCACCATATGCTCGTGGGCTCCGTCGATGGCCATTTCTTTAGTGAACATTTCCGAAAATCGCTTATAACCTTTTCATAAAATAACAGACAGTTTTTGAACTTTTGCATCTGGTTCGGACGCCAGCTGTAATTTTGGGAGGAAATAGAGTTCGACGACGAATTGTTTATTTCCTAAATAAATAAAAAAAGTTAGTGCAAACTTTTCTTTCTTTTTTTTTTTTTGTTTTAGAGAAGTGCACTATTCATGCTTTCTTTTTTTTTGACAGGACACTTTGTGAATTATATTAGAAAACTAGACGAAAGGAATCCATTCCTCGGAGAGAAAGAAATGTAATCCTTTCTGAAAGAGTCGGATACATATAAAGTAGTGCATATAATATTCGTCTCACTCGTACACAAGCCATGTAGAAGACTAAGTTGACTCCAAAATGAGTCGTGCCTAACTACTCACCTAAAACGTCTATGATTAAGCTCTACTTTTTTCCCCTCTTTTTGCGTACACATGAAATTTAGTGCACTCTGCTTTCGTATGTACACCGAACTTTTTCAGACTGATCTGGAAATACAATACCTCCTGTCTAGTCTTCTTTGGCATGTACGACATTGCGAAATACGGTAAGAGAATAAAGATGAACCCTCATGACTTTCGGTGTTGCCAGATTCTCGGAGCCTTAGACCAAAAGGTACAAGATGTTTCGTCAAAGTTATTTGTGCGGCTCTTCCCTAAACAATTCAATACACATGCATGTACTATGTGGACATACCTCCGTCTTGTTGATTTCCTGGAGCACTCTCATTGTATTATTATACGCATTTTCCAAATCAGTGTTACCGGCGACAACCGTAATCGCTTCGACGTGCTTGTTGTGACTCAACATTGCCATCAGTGCCATGGCATCATCAACACCCGTGTCGACGTCAAGGATGTAGCTCATGCGGCTTGTACCACAACGCTTTTCGGTCTCCTCTGAATAACATATCGCAATGGCGAAAGCCAGTAAAGGCAGAGTGTCCAACATCATACATATAAATTTGTTTAGCGGAGCGGTTTCTGTAACGATGTTATATAAAGATTCGCTGTGATTATTTATATCATGCCTGGTACGTGTACCTTCCCACCAGTAAAATACCATATCAAAGTAACGGCCAATAGACGATTTTCTTGGAACATCTGCTTTCTGGATTGGTGTCGGTACATATGAGCCAAAACGTCAACCATGTCTTCTTTCCATAAACTTTCACGGACAAAGCTGTCTATAACGCGCGAGCGGTGACAAGTCTGCACTCCCCGTTCCACACGCTGTCCGAGAGAAATCTAGCTTTACGATGTCAGTCCATGATTGATTGCACTTCTAGTTTCTACTTATACTGCAGCTCTAATAAAAAAAAGTCCGTGGTTTACACTTTTCTGCAAAATACGAGGCAACCTATCGTGGCGAATAGTAGACGAACCTTAGCGAGTGACGAAGCACATAATATAGTAGTATCCTTAAGATACGGCGTGTGCAGGAATACTAGAACATCTTAACGTCACGTTCAGTGTCGCCGCCCTTACAGAAATGTCATATATGACCCAGATATGTTTAATATAGGGCCGTATATGGGCATATAAGTAGACATATACGGTCATATATTGCCATACAAGGACTGAAATCAGGGCAGATATGGTAAGGTGACACCATATATGACGACATATATTGCCAGATAAAGTCATATATGGTGCCAGTGGCTGCCATATATAACAGTATAGGATGCCTGATACTAATGTATATGGCACTATATGGTGCCAGTGAACATGTAGATGCAGGTAGCACTCCGCGTCGGCCGGTATCGGGACTACGCCGGCCCGCCCATGGTAACAGGATGGCAGCGCCTGGCCATGGGCACCGGGGAGCTACCGGCCCCGGCCGGCGTCGGGATTTCGTCTTGCTCATTGGCCAGTCCAACCGTAGAAGTTACAGTGACTGGACGGCATCGGGTTTTTGCTGTCTTTGCTGGCTAGTCTTTCCTTGGAGGTTCCAGTAACTGGCCGGCATCGGTATTATGCTGCCTTTGATGGCCGGTATTTACGGAAATTCAGTAACTGGCCGGCACCGGTATTTTACTGTCTTTGATGGCCAGTATTTACATGCAAGTTCAGTGACTGGCCGGCATCGGTATTTTCCTGTGTTTGATGGGCAGTATTTACATGGAAGTTCAGTGACTGGCCCGCATTGGCGCTTTGCTGTTTGCAGGCTGGCGAGTTCCGGGAACTTCCGTTTACTGACCGGCATCGTTCTATTTTTTTGGCCTTTTTGACTATGCAGTCACGTCATTGAGATTCCGACGAACTGCGGCGATTCATATGTAGCGGGTGGAAATGTTTGCGTTGATCAATCCTTCGTAAATGACTGCCGACGCTGGCGTATTTGATCCCACCATGGCAAGGCTGACGTGTTTTATCGCGAAAACGCGAAAATAAAACAAAAAAAAAACAATGCCGTGAGGAAAATTTGCAGTCCAGGATTTGAGAATCTGACCCCCTACGCCACGAAAATGAAATTTTACAACGCCGACCGACACTTTTTTCAGGAAGTTAGTTTAATTAGATGTACTATACTTAAGGTCTGGCGTTATCCGCACGTGTTTGGCTCTGATAAAAAATAAAAACGGTATAGCGGAGCCTCGAATGAAAAAAGAAAAAAGACGTGGCATGATTGAGCACGCGCTTTGAGCTACAAAACAATTATAAACATTACTTTCCAGGAACTAGAAAAGTAAGAGATGTGTTTATTGCTTATGACGCTACGAGAGGTACATAAATCTCCTGAGAGATCATTTTAATGGTGATTTTAATCTAGTGTGAAAATATGCTATTTCAGGCAGGAATTGACTGTTTTACGTGGTAGTTACCATATAAAACGATCATCTAAGAGAAATATTTTAAATGTTCACATAGGCCAAACGGTATCTGTCTCTTTAATAGCTTATGTTATACGACATACCGTACCAAAGGAACGCGAATATAAAAACTTTTTTCTTTACTCAAAAAAGCGAGAAACACCAATGCGTTCTGGATGTACACACTGCTGGGTTTGTGAATGTGACCCCTTGACACTACGAAAAATAAATGTCACAATGCCGAACGATAGCATTTCTGAAAGCTAGTTTAATTATCTGCGCTGTACTTGAATCTCAGGAATAAAAAAAGTGTTTAGGCCTAACAATAAGTAAAACTGCGGAGCGCAACCTGTATAAGTAAGACCTGGCGGCACGCGGGGAATAGCGCTGATCTACCAGAACAAAATTAAATGCCACTTTCCAGAAGTCAGAAAATTAAGAGACGTGCTTATGAGCTATGAGCTCAACTAAATTACTGCCTTAAAATGGCGGTATTTTTGTTTCAATAGTGGGTGAAGATGGACCGCTTTCATGACAAACTTTGGCTTCATCACTGTGGCAGTTTTATCACTTACATTTTCCCATTTTTCTCTAAATGTACCCTTTGTTATTAATTGTATTTCTTCGTTGAAAGGGCTTGCGCTGTTTGCCTACTACACTGACCCACCTATTAGCACGGAGGGAGCGAATCATCCCGGCAAAACAAGAGGGCCAGGTTTTCGGAATCGCATCAATTCAAATGTGGGCTCGCACTTTTTTATTTTCACCTTCTGCGTGATTGTTACCCCGAAGAACGGTGCCGGCTTCAGCATACACATAGAAAATATTTAAAATATAAAAAACTAATACACAAAGGTGAGAAAAATTTTAAAATAATAAAAACAAATTTAAAATGGCGAGAGAAAAATATTTAAGATCATAAAAAGTAATACAAAAAGATGAGAAAACAATATTTAAAATAATACAAAATAACACGAAATAACACAAAATAATATAAAATAATACGAAATAAAATAAAACAAAATACAAAAAGGTGAGAAAAAAATTAAAAATAATAAGAACGAATACGAAAAGCTGAGAAAAAAAATATTAAAGTAAAAACACAGTGTAAGAAAACAAATAGCGCTTATCGCGATTTGAACCAACGACCGCAAGCTCAGAAAACCAGAGCGCCAGCACACTACGCTTTTTTTTTTTTTTCTTTATTTCCTGAATTTTACAACACAGAAAATGACATCAATGAAGGGCTAAAAGAGCCACCCTGGCCGATAATAGAAACGAAAATTAAAAATCCTTAATGGTCGCCAGCTCTTCAAGAACGGGCAACCACTCAGGTAACGGTTGTTGCATTTTCATCACTTCCTGCAAGTGACACACCGTTTCTACAAAGTACTTGTGCACTGGGCGGACGTTGATATCGGCATGACGCACCGCAAGACGACACTGCCAAATACTGTGCAGGCCTAAAAGCATTATGAAATCATAAGGCACCGTGCCCTTTCCATCTACAGACAGGTATCGGATGCCGTGAGGCGATAGGGGTAAGTCCTTTTTTAGCGTTCTCTGCAGAACATCCCAAAAGAACACCGCGTCCCAGCAGTCGATAAATACGTGTTCTATTGTCTCGGGCTGCTTACAGAGGACGCAGTGCTCTGACCATGCTGTTGGTACGCCTTTAGCGATAAGCCATGTTTTAACGGGCAGGGTTTCAGTGTGCAACTTAAAGAAGAAAGTTTTCACGTTCGCGGGAACTACCATCTTTTTAACTCTTTTTAAAACGTCTAGTCCCGGGCCTGCACTGTATCTGGACCGGTACAACGGGACAGGAAATAACAAATCAATCAAATCTCTTGACAAACGTTTACGCGAAACCTCAGCGAGATAATCCAAAGAGAAACGCGTCGCTAAAAAGCGGTACGCACCGATGACTTCCTTAAAATAGCCGTATGCACCAGAAAAACAATCATCACACGACGCAACTACAAACTCTGGCAAAACATTGTATAGCCTTAACTGAATAACAGTCCTAAGAAAAGGGTCTTTCTGGTCACGAAGAAAAAGAAATCTGTTGACCAGTTGTCTTATGAACATGTGTGTGAGGCCTAGCCCTCCGTCTTTCACCCGACGAAAAATATTGGTTCGACACATTCTTTCCCAGGAGGAACTCCAGACAAAAACAGCAAAAACCCGATGCATACGCTGTATGTTAATTCGCGAACAATGTATCACCTGTAGTACGTACCACAGCTTTGCTGCTAAAAAGGTGTTACAGATAGTTGCGCGAGCAAAAATAGACATGGCACTTCCTCTCCACTTCTCAGTCCTTGCACGCAAAGTTTCCGTTTCCTCGCGCCAAAACTGATCGCTGGAGCGGTAGTACTCTAACGGTACGCCGAGATAGCGCACCGGCGTGACAGACCATTCAATGCGCTCAAAAACCGGAGGCGTGGAGGGCCAGTCGCCGTGCCAGAAACCCAGACACTTCTGCCAGTTGACAGAGCTACACGTGTTTTCACAAAACGTCACAGTTAACTCTACGGCTTTTTTAACACTCTCTTTATCCGAACAAAAAACGGCCACGTCGTCCGCGTAAGACAAGATCCGAACTTCACTGGCCTGTAATTTGAAGCCACATATTTGGTTACTACGTATGACGCTTAAACAAAAGGGTTCTAGATAAATACAAAAAAGCAGTGGTGAAAGTGGACAGCCTTGCCGCACTGAAGAAAAAAGGGGAACGCGGTCACTGACCCGCTTGTTAACAATGAGTCTGGTGGCGCAGTTCTGGTACGCCATACGCAGACCTTCAATCAAAATAGAGCCTACGTTTACATGCTCTAAAATAGAAAAAAGTATTTCATGGGACACTCTATCAAATGCTTTTTCGAAATCAATTTGCAGTACCGCCACTCTGCGCTCCATAGCATCGCAACACTCTAAAATGCTGCGTGCCACATGGACGTTGGTTACAATGCTTCTCCCCTTAATGCCGCATGTTTGATGCGGGCCAACAATCTTAGCTATTACAGACTGTAAACGTTCCGCCAAGACTTTCATTAAAATTTTATAGTCAACATTAGTCAACGTTATAGGTCGATAAGAACTGACTTGACGAAGTTTCGCGGGGTCATCACTTTTCGGA